CCCATTGCGAGTTCTTTCCTTTCTTACGAGACCCTCAGAAAATGCTGGTCATCCTTTTTGGCTTCCCTTTCAAATCAGAAAACAAGGGGTTCCCTCCAAAACCACATTTCTGGCTTTCTCCCGCGCTTTCCTGCCAGGCTGCCGGAAAGTGTGCGTAGCTCATGAGGTAGGCGTGATAAATGCCCAGGCCGTCCCGATCCTTTCGGTGCGAAAAAGGAAACCCCTGAAAAAAACCAACGCGCTTTGGGCAAAACTGGATTTCAGTGCTGGTGCTAGGGCCTCCCGACATCTCTCGACACCTTTTGCTCCTTGGCCCGAATATGACTCCATATGACTCCTGCCTAGGAATTCCCAGGTTTGAAGAAATTGGGCGCCTGGCCCTGGGGAATGAGAGAGGAAGACCTGGAAACCAGGAAGGAAACACGGGCAACAGACTCAATTCTGGCGCAAGGAACCTACCGCATCTTCAACGAACGCTGGAGAAGAGGAACGCGGAGAGGCATATCTGTCTCAAACGCCACGCCAGTCCTTGGTGCCCAAATCCCTGAGAGCATCCTCCCAAATGTTCTGTGCTTCGGCAAAAATGATCTGCCCGCCGGTGCATGCCTGGCCGACTGGAGTTTGGATACTCGCGCAAACTGGAATCCACTGGTGCACAAGACAACTTACCCGTTTACTCACAATCTGAACACCGCTGAAACATGCGGAAAATGGCCCTTTCTGCGTCTGTACTATTCTGTGATACCAAGGATGCTGATTCCCATAGCTGCCCTATCACTTGAACAAAAACAAACAAACTGGCATCATAACCGATTTCCTATTTCCCACAACCGATATCTCGATGGTATCAGGAGCTCTGGCTGCGCTCAAAAAGAAACCTGCCTAGCCAAAGCCAAAGCGAAACGAGAGGGAAAGGGAACAGAAATGGCCATGCATCCTTTTGGGCTTTGGGAAAAGACTGAAAGGGCTCTGGGTCACATCTCAAGGCCGGAACGTCGGCTCATGTCGGCTCCACGGCGCCTCAAATTCCTGCGCCCGAAGCTTAAAACTTGGCGTTGAGGTCTCCGTGCGGAAGGAGAGATAGTTCACTCGGAAGCCCTGGTATTGGCCCTCAGCGAAGTATTGCAGACCTGGCGCTCCGACATCTGGTGCGAGGGGTCGGAACCCAGACATCTGGCCATGGACACCATCCCAGTGTGGCTTCTGGACAAATCATGTTGTGATGTTGAATGGAAACATGTCCAGAAAAGACAACAGGTGGAATCCAGACTGAGTGAAGCAATGGATTTGGATAAAACATCTGGAGGTCGGCGCTTCCCAAGCAGGACACACAATCAACGCACATGTGTTTCAGCGTCAAGCTAAAGGAGTCGTTTGCACACGCGGGCTTTGCAACTCGCAACATGGGAAACTCGGTCAGCAACAGCTGCTGATGGAAGTTGACAGTCGGTATTCAGGGATCCGGGATATGGCACCTATGAACATACCTCTTCCAAAGCCAATTGAGGGCATGTGCTCCCAGGAAAGCGATAGGAAAAGAAGTGCACGGGCAAGTTGAGTATTAAACACCTGTAAGGCCAAAACGAGATGTTCCCCCTGGGAAAATTCGAGTTTGTGTCAGTGAGGTTGTTCAGAACACTGGTGGGTTCGTTGGTTACGTGCCCCTCGCAAATGAACCATAGACTGGTAACGTTGACTGAATCAGCTCACGATTCCTCACTCAAACGGGGATGGAGGGAACACGCGGACGGGCGAAATACGGAATCCCACGTAATTCCTGCCTCATGGATTCTGCACACTTGATGTTTTCTACGGGTGTGAACTGGGAAATTGGTTTTCAGTTGACCAAATTCGAAGGCACCACAGCGAATGTAACTTTCAACCTGGGAAGCACCCGCGCGTGCGCGCACATGCGCGGAGCATGGCAACCAGATACTGGGGGATCCGGGATGCGCAATAATGAAAACAAGAAAGAATCACCAAGAAACTCCCAAACGACTGTCCAACATTGCCATATATACCATCTGGGTTAACCAAACTATTTGGTGACCAGCCTCAGCTCCCTTAGAAGGGATCATGTAAGACCTTGGGGAATCCCGAACAATGACACGCAGTCAACATAGAACAAATCGAAATAGCCCGCTGTCTGACATGCAAGGAGGCTCCTTGCTTATTTGCAAAAAAACAACAATCTCTTGGATGTTGCGAGAGTTGCCCAGCAACCAAAACGCCATCACTTCTTTGTTTACACTGCACACGTTTAGTAGGTCAATACGAACAACAACTTCACCACAGCTGGACATAGCCAAAGTGCTCTCCCCCAGTCTGTGCGCTCGTGCGCCTGGATGGGAACAGTTGAATACACGCTCAACGCAGCATCTTTCACAGACATCTGCAGCACATTGCTGGGCGTCTGAGAGGCTTGCAAGATTCACGGCCTTGGAACGAATTCGGCGTCGAAGGGCTGTCAGTTCCCAAAGATGTGCAAAAACAGCGCTGCATCAAACAAATCGCTGCGCCCCTCAGCTCTCAGAAGGTAAAGACAAGCTCACCTAAGTACCCAGATAAGATTCCCAAATAAGTCGTCATATCTGAACATGGGGCTTGGAAACACCCCATTGCTCAGAAGTCCGACGTGGAAAAAGGGCACCTCTTTTTGGGGTTGAGCTTAAAGGAAATCCCTTCCCGAGTCAAAAACGCGTGGAATCCAATGCAACATTGTTCGAACGAGGTTTCCCGGAAGGGAGCTCAGCTTCATGCAACCCACTGACCAAACCATTTTACGAGTGTCAAAAAGGACTGCTTTAACTGGGCTGTCCTCAGATCCCCTGCTAGAAGTCTAACTTTTAGTGGGTTAAATGGAACTGCCCATTAAACACGAAAAAGCTGAAAAGCTAAGGGGATGGCTGGGAACCACCAAATGAGGGCCGCCCGAAAAGAACACACAATCTGTCCGAGGGGCGACAAGCGCCGCAGTCGCACCGCGCGACGGACACATACCTCTTGCCCATCTTGAGCCCAGCTGCGGATCACGATCAGAGATGGTCGAGAGACGAGCAAGCTAAGGGCAAAGCAAATAAGAACAAAGGGACAAAGAGGCAAACTCAGGCAAACATCGGCGCACCAAGGGCAACCGTGTGAACTGAGTTGTTGAGCAAGTTCGATCTCAATTTGTATTGGTGGGCCTGTGACGCCTGATGTCAAGGGTTGCTATTGGAAGCTCAGCTTGGAAGTCTCCTCTGTTTATGGAAGCAGAAATCATGATTGAGAGGTTGGCTGCAGTCACCAATACCACCGATGCCCAACATTTTGTAATGCAAGCGAGCGCATCTTGTGGCAATCTCTCAAATGATAAAACGCACGTTAGATCAGCACTGCAAACGTCAGACAAAGCCATGCCAACAGGACCAAGCTCCTGAAAGTGCGTAAGCCGCGAGAAGGACGAACACCACTCCACTCCCCGCTACCGAAAATCCAACGCGCGCGCGCCGCAGTGGCCAATATTTGAGGTCATCGTAGAAAAGGCCGGCCTTCTTTGGTTGATTTCAAGAGCTTCAGAGAACACGAAACACGCAAGAACCACACGCCAACTCTAAACCGTGGGAACATGTTTTGCGCAGGTGCGGCGAAATCTTCAGTCTCCAAGACCTTTCGGCTCGGCCACCTCGCCGGACAGCGTATCCAGCGGGTTCCTCTCCGGAGGCTCCCCGAAAGCTCTCCGGAAGGCATCCCGCCAGTCCTCGCGAATCCAGCCCTGAAAATACTCTAACCTGCTTCGGGCTACTTCCTGGTTCGGGCTGCTTGCTGGTCAAACCAAAACAGGAACGAACACATAGTGAGTTTGAGAAAGTGTGTTTTGGTTGGGTACCTCTTCAAGGTCGGTTTAAAGATGTGTGCAGGGAAATCAAAAGGAAGCCCGCCATGTTTCTAGGCGCCCCAATTTGTCACACCCCCGCATCCACCGAATGTGGCGGAACAATGCATGGCCGATGGGAGCTTCAAGACCCTCACACCTGCAAGTGAAATACTTTTCTTCAAATCCCAACATGCTGCAAGCCGAAGCACAAGCTTGTTTCACACCAAACAACAAAAGGCGACCGACGCCTTTTGATGGCGTGCCTACCTCTGCTTCCATTAGCCCATTGGCATTGTGGAAAACTCCGATACCAGCAAGATATGGCAGGTGTATATAGTGCGCTATTCTGCAAACTGTTGCCGAAGTTTGGCTGCCAGAGTTCTGGAGTTGTTCCAAAGACCCGATTGAAAAGCTGGTTGCCAAAGCTCCGGTCTGGTGGCTTGGTTGGGTTCAAACAAACCCTGTATTGTTTACAATCAAACCCCTTTTCCGGCATCCCTTGACCAGTGGCTCAACTGCGGATACCCACACGTACCCTCCGATTGGGTTCAACCTTCAAAACAACACAAAAAGAGGAAGAACAAGAAACATGCATATGTATATTTGCATATATATATATGTACATATGTATATATATATATGAACATATATATATATATGATGTGTTACTTGTCCATGGCTTGTGTGGGATTTGTTGGTTCGGAGGTTGAAAGCCTCTCCTGCGCCGTGGCCCTCACAGGCGCGTCGAAGTGGCAGGGGATCACCCGTTCCATCTGCGTGCGAAGCATTGGTGGCTTTGCGGTTTGAGGGCCCGAGGGGTTTCCCATTTAGCCCCTCCAACGCCAGGGGTTCAAATGAATGCCACCGAACCACTTTTTTTGGGGTTACCTGAAGGATGCTACTGCCGCGGAAACTTGATTTGGCGTGAGACCTAAAATGCACTTTGTTTCATAAAAGATTCCAGGATGGGAAAGGCAAAGGGAAGCCTCTGTGAAACCAGCTCATCCGGGAACCGTCTTGGGGAGGGTACGCCAACATGAATCGCTAGCTGGGGTAGGTCCATGAGGAGCCAGTGTCGATCCACATGGAGTCAATATCACGAACTCCCCTAAAACAGCAGAACAGGGGGACTGCTCTTTTTGCGTGCTTTGAGGCTTCCGGTCTTCCTGCGGAGCAGGTTATTTGCCATCCTGACAAGCCCAGGCAAAACCAGGACAGACTGGAGCAAAAAAGACAACCTAGAGAAACACAAATAGGAATGAAAAGGAAAATGCTAAGAGAATGCAGCTCATCCGGCTTGAATGAACAGCTGCAACTAGCAGCATGCTACAACAATTCATGTAGAGGACCCCGGTGAGTCGTCCAATTTTGATCGAGTTCCATGACCCTTTTCGGACGGCCCATGTGAAGCCAGGGTCCAACGAGCGTCAGAACTCGGTGGGAGGTCCCGTCCCCTGGGACTCCCGTGCTACGGGCGGCGTACCGGCCAAGAGTTGGCGATGTCCTCCACAAAAGGCCAGACCTCATGTCACTGGAATCAGCACCCCAGCAATCAACTGTATGGTTCGCCTGGTTTGTGAAAAACAAAGGGGACCCCCAAAAAAGCAAAAACTCGAAAAAGGGGCTAAATCTGGGGAAGATGCGGTGTTGCTGCGGTTGGTGTTGGGAATCCCAAGAATCGCCAGTGTCAAACCTTGACTTTTCACAGCACGATAATCTTCCACGAGCAACTTCGAGCAGGGTGAAACCGAACAAGCTTTGAACATCCTGATCTGGACAATTCCTATGAAATCCTCAAGCAAGTGCGTCTGGTTGTTCAGGGTACCTTTTTTTGTCAGAAACCAATGTACTGAGTGTTTTTTTTTGTTTGGTGGATTCCCGCACGTGTGGCTTACTCCAACAAAACATCACATTTACTGAACTAGGCAGTTTGTGAGGAATCTGAAGACAACAGATTCCTCATGTGCCTGTTTCTTTCACAATCCTGAAAGGCCCCGTTTGCAAAACCAAGAAAAGCATGCCTGAAAAGCATCCTATACTGCAAAGCCACAAAAACAACCCATTCGCAAAAACAAACACCTCGAAGAAACAAGAAAGTCCTTAAGGACATGCTTTGGTCATGCCCACTTTTTGTCTGGGAAATTGACTTTTTACTTCGTTTGATGCCTTTTGACTTTTTTTGGGTTTCCTCGAGGTTCTTTGCGTCTTTTAGATTGGCCCGTTTTCCTGGCAGAAATCTCGCGCGCGCAAGCGCTTTCTCCAGGCGTCGGATGCCACTACGCCCCTTATATTCGCACACTCAAAAATAGGGTTGGCACCCCACAATTCTCTTTAACTTGGTATCTTTATGAATGGTATTTATATATCTGTGTTAGGGAAGGAATAGAAGGAATAGAGATGGTATGGGAAATGAAAGAGAATCCCAAAGTGCGTCACTTATTAATTGTATGATGTCTTTCCATTCCCTTCTTTCCTTAGCAACCAAAGGAATGGAGGGGAATTGATGTTTTATCTCTTACCACTCCCTCACGTCCAACCTTCTGCGCTGTAGCGGCTAAAGGGAGTAAGGGATGAGGATAAATTAAAATAAGAGATGACAGAAAGAAAGACAGAGGAAGAAAGAAAGACAGAAAGACAGAAATAACAAATAAAGAAAGGCAGAGGAAGAAAAGAAAGAAAGAAAGAAGGAAAGAAGGAAAGAAAGAAAGAAAGAAGGACATAAATAAATAAATAAATAATTAAATAGATCAATAAATAAAGAAAGAGGCAAACAGACAGACCAGACTTTCCAAAACTCTGGATTACAGTATCTGTTCATTCTTAGATTCGTCGCCTGTCAATCTTATGACTATGCCAAGGCCATGACGAGAAATGGAAACAGTGGATGGAAGAAGGACGAAAGAGCTGCAAGGATGCTGCGACAGAAGCAGAATTCCCTTCAAGCAGACCAGACATCTGTTTGAAAAGCTAGTTTTACGCGTCATTTACACCCACTCAGAGCATTGGCCGCTCTTTTTTGTTGGTTAAAGGAAACCTCAAGCGAAGCACACTTTTCGGAAATTCCCCTATTTTGAGACCGACCCACATTGCAGAGACTCGGGAGGACTTGCCCTTTCCCAGCTGAGGCACATCGGAGGAGAGGTAGCGGTTCAAGATGAGCTCCGAAAGGATGGGCGCCACAAACAAGCCGCCGCCTGGTCCGAAGAAATAGGCTCCGGTCGTAGCTGAACTCCAGAGTCTGCTATGGCAAATCAAGGCTTCCACTCTGTGGTTCAAGCAGCTCCAAGTTAAAGGATGGATCTGTGCTGGCTTTTGTCTGCGGGGAACTCGGACCAACCTTCCCCAAAATGGGGGGGACATTTGAGTAAAGATATCCAAATTTTCCTTGGGGATATGGGTGCTCTTGTTCTTTCTGTCTTGGACACCTTGCTTCTCAACATTTCAGTCACCACCGTTTTGGGCCCCAATTAGAAACGGGTTCCTCAATCGGCAAGTGATATCAGCGGGCTCCTGCGGTGTGTCTTACTTCGAAGCGTCAAGCCAAGGGAGAATGCATGAACCACTGTACTCACTGGGGTGAAACCAAAAAGACTCGTTACTACAAAATCGTAACTATCCATCCACTGGGGTAAAGAAATGCATCTAGGAATGCCCGCAAGATTGCCCCTGAGTGCTCATGACGCTTAAATTAGGTCCTCCAACCCCAAGTTTGCTCAAGAAAAGACCTTATCTATGTCAATCACTGGGTTTCACCAATGTAAACTGAGGGTTCCCCGAGGGCCTTGGAACCGCTCGCGGTACTCGATGAGCTTGAAATGCAAAATTCAGATCCATCCGCCCAGCCAACCCCACACCCACAACGCAAATCTGATCGAATTCTTCCAATGAACTCGGCCCATCCCATCCAAAGAACTAAACGCTCGCGGGCGCTAATCTGATCCATCCAATCGACACCCTCCATCCCCCAAACGTTGACTTCAGGGTCTACAAAGACGAACATATAGGCTTTCACAGGCCTTACTACGTGTAACCATAGTATGAGGTTCACTAGAATCTACCAACGGGAATCGGGCTCGGCTCACCCAGCCTCCCTGCCGCAGGGCATCGAAGGACTTGCGCCAGTCTTGGCGGAAGCGCCAGGGCAGCAGCCCACCCCAACCTGAGGCCACCCTAACGTGTCGGACAAGACCGAGGTTTGTCACACGAGGGGGGACCGAGGTTTCGCAGTTGCCCAAAAGACCCAGTAATACAAGGTTAACCTTTTGCGACCTTGACGAAAACAGGACAAACATGGGAAAATCAAAAGGTCAAGAGGTTGGTCTTTGGGGGTTGGAGTTGGTTGGCTGCATCCCCAGCATCACCAGCCTCGCGCGAACCTAGGGCTGCCTATTTGCTCGATTTGGTGGCGGTTGAGAGTGGCGGTTGAGAGTGGTCCGGGGTTGGTGTCGGGTGAGCTTTAGGCTGCTTGAGATCTTGATAGGGGGCGGCTAAGGTTTGTTTGGGGTTCATCTAGCTCGGCAAATGGCTGAGCTGATATACAGGATGATGTCGGGTGGGTTAAGCTTGACTTTGGGCGGGCGGCTGGTTGAGCAGTGGCTTTAGGGTTGCTTCAGGGATGTGGTTGCGTGAGTGTTGGGCTTGCTTTGGCGGTTTGGGGACGCCCCACAACCCATCCCAAACCAGCCCAAGATTCGACGTAACCACACCCCAATATACGTCGCACGCTCATTCCAAAGCAAATCCCACACCCAGCAAACAAAACTTGCTGGTTCTCTGTAGGGAGTGAACAGGAGTTTTGGGAATGACGTTTGGGACATCCTTACGGAAAACCTTCATTGAGGTCATTCCAACACCCGAAAAAGGTTACTGGTATAAGTTGTTCTCTTGGCGCTTTTACTTCTCTCTGCACCAGGCAAACCTGTGGGGTTCAGATCCCCTGAGAACCCGTGCACGGAACATCTCTGGGGCCCCAACCCAGGTCCTTGGCCTCAGAGTTCCACGCATCTTCCAGCGCCTTGGACCTGGGCTGAAGGCTGAGATCCGCCATGTCCCTGTCCTCAAAGGCGTGGTCGATGTTGGAAGGGGAGCAACAAAATAAAGTTTAGCAGTTGGGGATTTCTCACCAAACCAACTGCTAAAACTTGAAGTAAGCGAAAATTAGATTGTTTCCCAACAACCATGAAGGGGTCCCCATCTTCGCATCTTATTCCCGGCTCTCATCACAACAGAGGGTGATCGTGAGAAAATGGTAGACAATGGTTGGCTTCCTTTGGTTTCAATGAAAATGTTCAAACAAGGGGTGGGGATGTGGACCCCCAACATGTGCAAGAATAAGAATTCGGAACCCCGGAACCGCAGAATGGGCGGTGTCCTTGTGGTTTCCGCTGAAACCAGCCCCTTTGGGCTTAAAAACACACCCAAATCCACGACATGTACGCCTCGCTCCCCATCTGTCCTCTTACCTGGAGAACACCTAGGACCTTCTCCGAGTCCAGTCAGGGCATGAAGCGAAAAGCTTGCCATGACCAACACCGGCAGTGGGCGATCAAACTCTGCGAGGACCCTCTCGATATCCAAAAGTGTTGCACTTCACTACCATCATGACTTTTCTTAAAGAAAAGGAAAGATAGGTTAGATCTATCCATAGATGAACCTGACTGACACTAGGTAATTGTATACATATATATATATATATATATATATATATATATATTTATGTATACATACTTGGACGGGATCATAGATCTCACTGCCGTAGATGAAACTCACTGCAAGAAAAGGTATCCTTGAATAGCAAGGGTATAATTAGAGCGCAAGCTCCGACGTCGGAAGCCGCTTTGTAGATGGCCGGCTCTTCTCCCATCCCCAATGTGATTTGTGCTGGCGCTTGAACACAAGCCCGACATTAAATCAATTCAGCTCTTTGCTGACATTCAGCCGTAAATTGGCAATGCTGGACCTGTGTTGGGGAACCGGCTCCAAAGAAATGTGGAATGGCAAAGGACATCCCACACTTTTGGGGTCAACAACAGTATTGTGCACAATAAGGTGTTCAAAGGACAGCCCTCGTCCTCAGGTGTCATACAGCCTTTGGGTGTTCCTCACAGCACAGGGTTCCCCTAGAATGATTGGCTTTCTTTGGTTTCTCTCTACACACCAAGTACAATAACTTTCCCATTGTGACGCACACCCGATTACTTGGGCAGCTCCCAATTTGAGAAAGAGAGACAAACCAAAAGGGAGAAAACTCAAAACTCATAGCTTTTCTTGAACACTCCTATGAGACGGGCCAACACCCCAACAAAAACAAACACACACACAGACAAAAACAAACATATATTGCTTTACATGCCACTCACCCCCCCTCCCTTTTTCGGGTTCCGCATTTTGGAGCGGAACCGAAGCTTTGGCGTCTGTTCGGCTCCAAGGCTCCGGGCACCGGCTCGGGATCGATGGCAGAGGACTGGAAGAAGAGGGCGAAGAGCGCCATGCGGCCTTGACGTTGGAAGGGGAGCAACAATTCAAGTTTTTAGCAGCTCGGAAATGGTGTACCAGGGCTCCGACCATCCCGTTCACCAGGCTTTTTGGAGAAATTAGCAGTTCAGTGGGGATATCAACCACTAAACCACAATAAGCAAACATGCAAACTGTTGCCCAACAACAATGTTAAGACCCGAGGGGCAGCTGGACATGAACCATGGGACTGACGTTGGAAGACAGTATTTTGGCATGGATTGGTCCATGGGCATTGGGAGTCGATGCCTGGACATGTCATGAGAGTCTACCAATTTGGGAGACAGTATTTCTAATTGAACTGTTGAAAGCCACCCTGATAGCAAAGTGCTTGATTCCCGCAACTGCTTCACCTTCAGATTTCAGTGAGGATTCTCCAGTTTTCACAGAAAGTGGCCCCAAGACGCACTTTTCCACAACCACGGATATATCCAATACAAAGGTCTCACCCACAAGTCTTCCAGAAGACTCCATTCAGGTTCCATGCTCGTGATTGGGCGGTACCTCTCTTTGGGCTGGCCTCAAGCGGTACCCCTTTCGTGGCTGACCAATACCCACGTCAAGGTGCTTGGATTGAATTTAAATTTAACGGAATGCCAAAGGCGGGCGGCCCATTTCGAGTTTCTCTCGTGGACTCACCATGGGCTTGGTCTTCTGAGGACCCTGAAAAGAAGGGGTCCTTCTGAAGCACGTTCTCTTGTTTCAAACGCATTCAAAGGCCTGCTTTTTCAGGGAAGATCAACCACTTCACAGTGAAACCCAAAGGCCGAGCTGCGAAGTAGGCGCCGCTTTTTTGAAGGCCAAGTCATGTAGCGTTGAAAGTTGCAAAGGACCAAACAATCCAAGCCAATCGCACACGAATACTAATGCCGACATAAGGGGGCCTTGAGAGTCCCCTTCTTAAACTCGTGAGGCCCCTGCTGGCCCCTCCCCAAATCCTGTTCCCGACGACAGAAATGAAAGAACATGAACGAACCTGTCTTTTTCGGGGATCAACGTGCGCTTAGAGATCCTCTTCACCTAATTGGGTAGAATGACAGCAAAACACGAGGATAAGCACAAGAAGCCGGGCTTTAGGCAAGCTTTTTGACAGGCGGGGCATGTCAAGGAGATGTTGCGAATGCGTGCGGCTCTGTTGCCTACGCGAAGCGTACAGCGTCGGCAAAAAGACGCTGGACGCCCAAAGCATTGTAAAGCCACAGGAGGGCAGGCGAACGAACCAAGCAAACCAGGCTGCCGTGTCACCTCTGAGAGCAATGCAAGGGTATGGCAGGGGACCACAGGTTTTAGTCAATGTTTCCACTTGCCAGGGTTCCAAAATGGGGTACCTATTTTTGACCCACAGCCACAAGTTCTGGAGAGGCTATCTTGCTGCCAAACACTGAAACGTCAGGCGCAAACCCAAAGAAAATCTGTACCGGACGATGCGGACAATGTGGCGGTCTCTCTTTGGCAAAGCCGTTTGTGGCAATCCCCTGAGTTCAGTTGTTTGTTTCGCTGTATGTGCGGATTCGAAGGAATACTGTCTGATTGTCGACCTATGCTCAAAGTCAGGTTCGCCAAGCGGTCAATTTAAGGGTATATACAAGGCAACCACTGGCTCTAACATCGATGATATATAAAGACAGAACTAAAATCCCAGTGGTAGAATACTTATACACTACACTTGTGGAAGTGCATTGTAGTAACTAACTTGAGAAACTGAGTTGGCTGGCCAAAACAAGCTCGAGCAGGGTCATGACAAGCGCTGAAGCCCTGCCAATTTAAAACGACGCCTCCCCACGCCAATCTACTTTCAAGAGCTTTGCATTTTCCAATCAAGCCGGTCTTTCCATAGCTTTGGGAAACCCAGAATCGGAAACGGAGCAGGAAACCACCATGCTGGACCATTCTACAATGGTGTCTTGGGAAGCTACCACTGGAAAAACGTGGTTTGAGAAGTCCCTAAGCCCGACCCAATGGATCCCATGCAGCCCCTATAGGTAACCATTTCCTCTTGGTCTTTAAAGGGTGGTTCTTTTGGTTACCAACTGAAATGTTGACTCGGAGGAGTGTTTCAATCGGGGGTGGTTCCCGCTCGTGCTCAGTAGGCAACGGCCCCAGGTGCTGGGAATGAACCGTTTGGAGATTCCCTTAAAGGAAACCAAATCGGGGAATCCGTTTCTCTTGGGGGCATGCCATGTCTCATGCCCCGCCCATCGAACCAGCAAAGCTACGGATGCGGCGCCCGCAAAACCCGCACCTCGCTCGCCGCTCGCTCGGCCCCCGCACGCCATCCACGGAGCAGCGACTCTTCCGACAGCTCCAGGCGCGAGGAAGCGTCGTCCCGCGCGTGGAAGGCTAAGGCCCGTGGCTCCTGAAAAACCAAACAAGGCTTAGGTTTCCCTTAGGTTTCCCTTGAGTTTTCTTGGGGTTTCCCTTGGTTTCCCTTGAGCTTCCCTAGGCTTCTGAGGCTTCCCTTGAGTTTCCCTTGGATCGAGGACATGTCCTTTGGCCCTTTAGCTTAAACACAGGGTCGGGGGCTCGTTTTTTGTCCGCGCGCGCTTTTCGGGTTGGCTTTGTCCGAAACCGAAAGACCACCGACACATGTTTGTTCTTTCTTTTTGTTTGGGCGTGGGGGGGGACAACAAACATGTCACATGCCCGTGTTGAACCCAACTGGACGCGCTGAGAATCTCTGCGCCAGAGGCGAAGCCGATTCCTCCGCCACGATCTCGGGCGCAGTGTCGGGCACAGAGACCACCAAGTCGGTGACCAGCATGGTGCGAAGCCTCAGAACTTACGGAAGGAGACCAATGATGTTTAGATGGGGCCCTTTTGTTCTCTAAGCAATTAGAAAACACCCATACAAAGGGTTCTATCTGGGCAAGTTTCTATCTGGGCAAGTTACTGGCATTCAACCTGAAACCTCCAAAAAGTCCAAAGCCTAACATACGAATTGGATGGCCTGGTAAAAGGGCTTGCCATAAAATTGACAGCATAGATCGGGGAGATCACACTGCTTTTGTTGGGATCCCCGATTTTCGGGATTTATAAATCAAGCACGAAAAGGGTCCCGTCTGGGAAAACCTTTAGATAATTGAAAGCTCGGCAACTTGCTGCAGAAGGCGCACTCTTTTTTTTCGCATGCAGTGTGAGATAATGCCGATGTCTGCAAGCTGAAGAAGGGAGTGTCATTGGGTTAGTCAAAGCTTGCACACACACACAGAGGCCAAGAGGGCGCACAGCACAAAGTGCAGGTGAAAGCCACAGGGCGCTCTGAAGTGTGTGTGTGTGTGTAATCAAGCCACCCCACTTCAAGCTTGGCAGAAGAAATCACAGGCAGGCCAAGACTCTTGGCAATGCCAGGGCGTGGTGGGCGGGCAAGAAAATGTGCGCCCTGCAGCTAGCCTGACTTGAACCATCAATCAATCAATCAAGGCGCGTGCTCTCAATCCTCTTTCTGCCAAACCCATCCAGGCCAAGAAAGTTTGAATGAAAGCTCGGCAACTTGCTGCAGAAGGCGCACTCTTTTTTTCGCATGCAGTGTGAGATAATGCCGATGTCTGCAAGCTGAAGAAGGGAGTGTCATTGGGTTAGTCAAAGCTTGCACACACACACAGAGGCCAAGAGGGCGCACAGCACAAAGTGCAGGTGAAAGCCACAGGGCGCTCTGAAGTGTGTGTGTGTGTGTAATCAAGCCACCCCCAAAGTTCCCCCCAATGCTACAATGCCGTCAAAGCTGCTGCAAGCGAAGACGCTGCAATGCGAACTAAATCAGGCACAATTGCCGGCAGCAAGGACCAACCTTGGGAAAAGGTCCACGCATCATCAAGGCCATCACGGGAGAGACCATCTGCAGGGTTTGCATTCGACTCGATATATTCGAAGTACACCCTGCAACTCAGCTTTGCGTACAGGAGATGCGCTAGTGATGCGATGAAGCACAAATCCCCTGCACTACTGGCACCCTTGGTGAGAATTTGGCAAGCTGCTTGATTGTCAATGTACCAAATGAGATCGCGCCCAACCAGAAGATGGGGGACATTACAAGGCACAATTACACTCAACAAGGCTTCGCAAGGTGTAATCTGCTGGTGGCGCTCATCAAAGAGCTGCAAAACCTGCGGCGCAAGTCGGGCAGCCATGCCCACAGGGGGCTGGGCACTGGCAGCGTCAAACACAACAAAACCAACACCTGCAACAAGATCTGTGTCAGGCTCGTATGATGCGTCAGAGTAAATGCGCACTGGAGGCAAAACTGCGCCTAGGACCTGCACTTGGCGAGGCTGCACTACACAGGCAAGAAGACTGTGGAACCTAAGAGAGTCCTTCAAAGGCTCATCAAGGACATCCACCGTGTCAAAGTACTGACGGCGGACCAAAGGCGCCTGGCCCCCGCGAGCACATCGGCCATACGTTCCTGACGCAGACCAGCCAAGTTTGCCTCGCAATTTGGCTGCACGCCCGGAAGACAAGATTCCCTCCTGCAGAACAGTATCGATGTCCTGTTGCAACACTTCGCGAAACCCATCCTTCAGCTCAAACTCAACAACCCCGGCAACTGACGCTTTGGCAACAGGCTTAGTGCCAGGAGCTGGCATGGCTAGGGTTGGAACTGCATTCTACGCATGGGCCGCGACTGCAGCGAGCAACGGAAAGTCAAACACAATGGTTGAAGCTCTGCAGGTCGTGTAAATGCACGTGTAAAGCATCATCCCCAACAACAGACTAGCAAGTTAAAAACCAGTGCACAAAAGCTGAAAGCTTGCCACAAAAAGGGTGGAGCCAACACTACATAAATTAAGGCCGAGGGCCGAAGAGCCACGCAACCACAAGGGCTGCGCGAAGCCCCTGAAGCCCTGAAACCCGACATGTCTCGCGTGACTGAGGGAATTTGAAAGTTGGCAAACACACAAATCTCCGTAAACCTTCGTCCCAGATCAGTAAAAGACTAGCCTGGCCAAGCAAAGAGTGGATGCATCCCTACGACAACAAAAACAAGCGTAGGTCAATGGCCGAAGGGCCGCGCACCGAAAAGGCTGCGCGAAGCCCTCAAAGCCCTAGAACTGGACATGTCATGGTGACTCGGGAAAAGCTGCCCGTCAAAACAAAGGGGGCGCAAACCTGCAACAGCAGAAACCCCAGCAAAAGCCGAAAGCTTGCAAGAGAAGGAGGGCCAGCGAAACCCCAGAAGCCCTGAAACTGGACATGTCTCACGTCACTTTGGATGAACTTGCCAATCAAATCTTTTTTTTTAAAAAAAAAAAGGAGTTGGCACAAACCCGCATCTGCAAGAGAGGGGGGCCAACAAACAAACAACAATTAGAGCCGAAGGGCCACGCACCCAAAAGGCTGCGCGAAGCCCCCGAAGCCCTGAAACTGGACATGCCTCACGCCACTCGGGGAAAAGCCTGCCGTGTGAAAGGAAAACAAATCAAATAAGAGTTGGCACAACCCCGCAACAAGAAGCCTTTGCCAAAGCTGAAGCTTGCAAAGAAACAGGGGGGCCAACAAGACATAAATGTAGGCCGAGGGCCGAAGGGCCACAAAACATGAGTGTAAGGCCCCCGAAGCCCTGAAACCCGCGTGTCTTGTGTTGTCAGGAAATTTAGTGGCAAACACACTGACCTATTACGCACAGCCGCAGAATTCTTTCACTGTCTATTTGCAGGAGTCGATTGCTCGTTTAATGTGCGGTGGAACGCAGGCTTGGCATTTGGCACAAATCTGCAAGCCTGGCTCTATTCCGATGCCCCACTCCAAGGGAATTCCCGCAAACGGAGTGCCACGGCACCAAGGAACAGGTTGGGATTGGGAGCGCTCACGTGCGATATGAGAAACCCCACGGGCAAAACGAAACCACTCTAAGTCATGCGGCAACCCTTCGTGACTTGAGCCACCGTCGGAAGAGGACGAAGTCTCGTCACTGCTTGCTTCGCTGTCACTTCCCTGGCAATTTACTGGTTTGTCTGCTGGAGGAGTCAAAGCAGAATGTCGATTTAAAATCTGCTGCCAGCTGAGCCCTTTTGTGCGGAAAGACTGCCAATCGAGCGGCCCGGATTCTGTCTCGAGCAGCTCCTGAACTGCTGCGCACAACAAAGCTTTAGTGTGCCCAGCGGAGAGCACTCTGTCATGAGCATAGTGCTGGCTCATCTGCACTGGCATTGGCTGGGCATGCTTGGTCGTAACTGACTCCGTCCAGTTTCCCAAGTGTTGGGCAACTTCCACTGGCGTTCGCAAGACCTCTGCTACACTTCGCAAAAAACGTCGCAAAGAGTAAGTGCTGATAAGGCCCACTTCTGCATCAGGCAAACCTTCGCTACGTAACACTGAGTGCAACAGCTTCACAAAGCGCGCCATTGGCATCGGGGCTGCTCGCCAATGCGCACGCTCGTCCAGGCAACCGGAGGGCCCACAGGCAACATCTGGGATACAAAAGGACAAGTCAGGCACCTGGCTGCGCAAGTCAATGATGACCCTTGACGCTAAGCCCAAAACATGCTTCCACTTGCCAACATGCATCGGAGCAGCCCATTCGAACGACGGCCGCGTGCCATGTTTGCGCGACTTGCCCTTCAAGCAAACCGCGCGAGCAAAGTCGTGGGACAGCGTCCAATCAGCTGATCGCTGCGCGTGGGCGAACCTCAGGCAAGCCACTAATGGGATAAGGGCTAAAGATGCGAACGTAGCAACGTTCGTGGAACCACCAAGGGCCAGCTTGCAGAGCGCCTGAAAAGCACGAAAGCTCAAAGGCACACGAGGCTGGATAGAGTGTCCCTCGGCCACTCGGTTCCACGTTGCAACCATGGGGTCGCCCAGCGGGAATGGTATGCCGACATGCCGACGCCACCATAACAGCTTCTGGAAAAGTCCTTGCGCTGCAGTTGGCCCTCCGTCAGACGCTTGCTTAAGGAAGGAAAAAAGCAGGGCAACCGGAGGCAACAGAACTTCTGCAGGCCCTTTGCCAAACTGCAACACATAATTGGCCCACCGCCTCAGGGCGCTGAGTTGCGCCTGCAGAGTGCGCCGCTCAAAGATCTGCAGCCGACTCGCCAGGCCTTCGCGAGCAATGGCCTGGTGCTCCTCAAGCAACGGTGACCACAACTCGCCATGCATGCCAAGGGCGGCATAGATCTCCCAGCAAGCATGGACCATCTCAGAGTGCTGGTGAACTGGCCTCAGGGCAGTCAGAGCATTCTGCGACCACTGAAAGGCGCCCGGCGCAATGCTACCCACAAGCCTGCACCGTTTGACAGCAGGCACAGGGAGGCCTTCAACAGGGCGAGCGCACTGCGGGGCTCCACTGGCACGCCTGGCAAGGAATGCCAAAGCGCCACGGGCAAGCTCGATGTACCATCCAGCTTCCTCATCGTCAATAAAGCCAGACATGGCTGTCACCAGCTCATCCGGTCGCAGGCCAGCAATGTCTGCATCGCACATCAACCCAGAACGGCGCATGCGCTCGATCACTGCACAATGAACGCCAGATTGGAAGAACTGCGAAAAGTCAGGCTCTGCAGGCACTGTCAAGGGTATTGCCTCTGCAGGCACTGTCAAGGAGGGCACAAGCGCAGGGCCATGGCCGTGTCCATGAAAATGCCGTTTCATACCCAAGAAAATGTGCGCCCTGCAGCTAGCCTGACTTGAACCATCAATCAATCAATCAAGGCGCGTGCTCTCAATCCTCTTTCTGCCAAACCCATCCAGGCCAAGAAAGTTTGAATCACACACCGGACGTGAAGGATTCCCTGGGCAAAGGACCTTGACTTTCGCTCGTACCACCCAGCTCGATCGTCTCTCTCTTGGTTGTCCCAAGCACCGAAAATGGGGGAAGGCCTCAACAGGGTGGTTGGTGCCTATGATTGGATCACACCATTGGAATGATGATGGAATAGGCCTCTGATTTGCCCAAAGTTCTCAACCCGGGCACTGGCCTTAAAGCTGAGACCCATCCCTGAACGCGCAAATGCGCTGACAGCCCCTGCCTTGTTTGCCCTCGGTGGTTTGGCCTTAAGTGATCTATCGCACTATTCAATGATATTCAATTCTTCAACAGACTTGGCAACCCTGTACCCATGGTGGATCACTTCGAAAGCCTGCGGCTTTCCGAACGGCTTGTCCTTGTCACTCTCTTTTCAATTCCTGCCCAGAGTTCCCTTGCTCCTCTCTTGGAGGCAGGTGAGGTGCACCTTGTTGCCCAGTTCCCAAAGGATGTGGCCTCCACTCAATCAAACAAGGCTGCACATCTAGAGGTTTCCGATATATCCCGCCATTTGTTGGAATTCGTAACTCACCGGACACGCATATACCAGTATCAATGTGCACGACGTGTCCTCCAACATGCTGGGGTCCCCACCGACCAATGTAGAAGGCCTCAGGCTGAGTGCGGCAGCAATTCAGATGGTTTCTAGGGACAATCTCTTGGCTGAAGCGAGACAATGGCAAACCCGAGGAACAGTGATGCTTGTTCTGCTGCAAAATCCATGCTCCCCTTCAATATGCGGGACACCAAACAGTGGACAATTTGTAAACTTCTAGGATTGGCTGTCACTTTGAGAGACCCCTACCTCCTCTGTTCCAGCGCAACCACCCAGATTACGCATGGATGAAACGAACAAACAGGTCTTGTGCAGCTTCTATTCGGGTTTTGTACTGCTTTCGTCCGGGTCAGGAAGAATTCACGATTTGACATCCTGATTCAAACATTCCTTAAACAAAAATCCAACCCAAATTTGCAACCCCCCCCCCCCCCCGCCCCAACCCACCCACCACCCTACCCAACCCACCCGCCACCCCCTGCCCCATCCGCCCCGTCCGCCCTCCCGAGGAATCTGAGGCAAACGCTGCCTCTGCGAAGGGCCCGTTGTTCAGGTCTTTGCCCACGGGCCCCAGCACTCGGAAGTCCAGCCTCGACCAAATGCGTTTGGAAACTGAGATAGAAAACCCAAAACCATGTAGGTAGCATACATAACACATGTAAATGCATGGCATGGCATCGCATGGATGGATGGAGGTAATGCATGGGTGCATGGATGCAGGCATGGCATGTATGCGGGTATGAATCTATGCATGCATGGGGGGATGAATACATGCATGCGTATAAGTATGTACCTCCTTCGGAATCCTCAGGACCTCCTGAAATGGTGAGCTGACTCTGGCATCTTCCATGGACACGCCCAAAAGGGGGAACTTCCCCTCAGTTGCCCCCAATGGACACAGAAGTATAAGGTTGACCTTTTGGGGTCATGACTAAAAGTGCCTGTCAAACAAGGCAAACCAAAAGGTCAGATCCGGTCGATTCCTAGTCAGATCACGTTCGCACTGAGGCCGGGACCCTTCATCCTTCCAGTCATCTGGAGTGCCTTGAGTCGACACACTGCACCCGAGTTCTCCTAAAGCAAGGCCAAACCGGTTGAATAAGGCGAGATAATTATGCATGCTCCAAAAACGAAGGGGCTGATTTCCAGGCTATCGGTAAAGGTGGCAATGGCCAGGCTGACACATGGCAGCACCCGTTCAAACCCAAGCGTTCAAAATCAAAACCAGCAGGCGGGTTCTTTCAACGGAGAACACCTGCATTTATGGAACCCAACTTGGAGTGTCAAAACTGGGGAGATCCAAAAAATGGTGGCTTTCCTGTTTGCTTCCTTTTAATGTAATCCCCATGTGCTGAAGGGACCCTCTTGCATCGTGTCGATTGGAGTGTGCGCGGGTCCCCATGTGCGCGTAGCCATGAGAACGAAATGAACTGGTGGTCCATCCTGTTGCATTTTGGATCAGACAATGCTCCATCTAAGTTACGTCCATCAAGATATACATTTGCTCCATGTCACCTAATTTGCTGGCTGCTGGCAGTAGGACCCAGCCAAACACCAACTTGGTCTCACTTCCTCAACGGATTGGCAAAACACACACGCACACCAAACTTCGCGTTGCTTGCCAAAATGGCCTTCCCACAAAGCATAAAAGTTCAGGAAGTGAGGGAGAGAGTGGCTCGCAGTCTAATATATCAGAAAACACGGCCCTGCAAATCCTCGCTCGAATATTACATGAGAGAGTCAACCGTCCAACAAATATCCGTACAAACACACAAACATTCGGACTGTGACAAGGGGCATGTAGTTGGAGCCACGAAAAAGAAAACAAAAAAAAACCTCGCATATGGGGCCCTATATCAAAAATACAGTTACTGAAAACTAACCTTCTCAAAAGTTGGACCCAAAAAATACCCCAAAGCCTTCCAAGAAATTGAAATCTAGGGAAGAAAATCGACTCGTCCCCTCACCCCCCAAGCTGCAATCTGAACCCAAACCGAGGCCGCAGACCCCTCAGAGTCCCCTTCTCCTGACTCCCTCGACTCCACATCTGCGGTAAAGAAGCGTAAGTGAATGGTTCTGGCCCTTTCTTAATTCCCACCCGAATGTCCAACCCCTGAAAACCGGCCCCTTCCGAACCCCCAACTCCTCGTCCTCCCCTCCCTCCCTTTGCTCCCAACGAGTTGTGCCACAGCGGCGGTCGGCTCCGAGACTCCGGAGGCGCTCGCCCCAGGGGAAGCCCAACAGCTGCAGCGGCAGCTGCAGCGGCACCGAGAACTGCCCCGGACACACCCAGACCTCGGCGTCGGCTGGGAGCTGAGCACCGCCCCGAATTGGCGGGTGTTGTGTTTTGTGTTGTCAATAATAATAATAATAATAATAATAATAATAATAATAATAATAATAATAATAATAATAATAATAATAATAATAATAACGACAATAATAATAATTATAATCATAATAATATTATTATGTATTTTCGGCGGGGCGCCGGAATCTGCCAGCCGAAAGGGGGTGTTTTGAGGCGGAGAAGCCGCATTTGGGAAGCGATGCGAGCGCCTGTTCGAACAGGTGGCGGAACACAAAAAGTAGGGAACGCCCTCCAACATGGTTGGTTGGGTCAAGATACCTTCGCATGAGTAACTGACGTTTGATTGATAGTCTACTGTTGGCTTGGGAGGATATGGGGGGGACAACTCAGACTGTCCCGCCAAAATCCGGGGGCTCTCCTCAAGCAACTGTTGCGGGTAGGATATGCAAGAGACGTGGGGGCGAGCCTTGCCATGTCCTCTAAGGGAATCAAGTCAGCTTGTTTGGGGCTCGTGTGGGTTTGGTAGATATGCTTTATTGACACTCCCATGTTTACGTAAACCACTGTTGATTGAACATGTTCAAAATGGTTTCCCTTAGTGATTGGTTCGAGGGTGCCCGAAGCCAGGGTGATTAGAAAGGGAAGCCAAAGGGAACACACACTCACACATTTGTTTCTATTGATGATTACTTTTGTGTGGGGAGGTCCCCCCATTTATTTTGACGCAGGGGCGAGCTCAACGGAAACAGTGTTTGTTGAAGTTTTCTGGGGGAAGTTGTGGCTTGTTTTCAGAAAACGGGACCAGGTGCTTAAGGGGTGTACCCGGTACGTACCCAACAACGCACAAAGCCAAACGAGTGGCCGCACCTATTTAGGCTGGGACCGTATCGTAACCTTGATTTAACCTGGTTTGGTGTCTGGCTCAAGCGGAAGGTGTTCAAGCAATTTCGCCCGCCAGCGAGAAGCAGCTGGAAGCTGCGGTTGTTGGTCGTGTTCCCCTTGTTCGGTGAAATTGGAACGGGCAATTCATCCCGGGTGGAGCTGGGGCAGTGGTCAAGTGGGAAAGAGCAAGGACCTTGCCGGGGGTTTGAAGCACACCAAGACGTGACCCAGTGGGAATGCAAAAAGGGCGGTTGTTCTCAAGCCGTGGCGGGACAGGCCAGTCTTCAAACTACTTGGCCCTGTGATGACATCATCCTTGGTGAAGCTAGGACAAAAGCAGTTGCCCCACCCGCACGTTGGGCCCTAAAAGGCAACGTTTGAACTAGCCCAGGGACAGCAAACCTAGACCGGCAGAACGAGCTTTGCTTTCACAGCACATGCCGCCAATGTCATTCATCTGCAGCAAGGCAAATGAGCAGGAGGGACCAAAAGCCCATGAACTTTCGGTTCACCCTGCTACCAAAATGGCAATTGACGATTCACTATGACCGATCCCCATGCAGGCAAATAGATTGCCCCCGCCATGGTGCAGTAACTGCAGCCTTTGACCAACAACAAACAAATGTTGACCTGTGGTGAAAAAAGTTCTCATCCCCCATGGTCCCCCTGGAAAACTGATATGGGTGTGTCTGCTTTAAGGTTGGACCCCCCCCCAGAATGCCTTAACGGTTTTCCTCTTTCCCAACTCAAAACAAGAGACGCACCCATGTAAAACTTAGAGTCGAACATACTTGGTGGCCTGCTATAGTGGCAATTGGAAGCACTGGGCTATATACCAACCCATACATGATATCCCATCACTGGGCTGCCCTCAGATCCCCTGCAAAAAGTTTGACTTTTGGTGGGTTAGATGGAAACCCCCACTAAACCCTAAAAAGTAAAAATGCTAAGGGGATGGCTGGGAGCCACCAAGATCAATCAGAAAAAAACCGGAAACCCAGCGTTCTCCCGTCCAACCAGATCGACGGCCGAGACACCTGGGCCTTTGGGAATCGCTGTGAGAAGGGCCCCACGAAGTACTTGTGCCTCGGCCGAGTCGGTCGGCAAATCTGGCTACATTTCACCTCCGAAGTTTGGACCTAACAGGTGATCACCTTTTGACAGATTCCTGAAAGTTGCCAAAAATCGAAAACCAACCGATGAGAAGGTCGATTCGTATTTCGCAACAGAGACTTGTTTCAGATTCTGGTCTACCCTAAACTATGTAAGATTCAAAGGGCCCTAAAACCATCTTTGTGTTAAAGGGCGATGACTCTGCTTTATCATTATCAAACAAAGGCCCCAGCCTTGTCTGGTTTTCAACTTGCCCATGGCGCGGGGCACTCCAGAGAGGACGAAGCCCATTTGGACCAGGACCGAAGCGGAACCCCGCGGCTATCTATATTTGCATCATGGAACTCCTCATGCGCTATCATGCGCCATCTATCCCTGCGAATAGTTATCATTTGCTAGGCACATCTACCTTCAGGGTAGGGGACTAATGGATGCTGCCATCGGCAAACCTCCAAACATGGTGCTCTGCGTTCACATGCAGAGGGGTACCACCTTTTGAACCGTGCACAAACAGCTCAAGTCGTCTGCTTTCACCTTGCGGGACGGCCAATTGGGGCAGAAAATGCAAGATTGGCCACCGCGACTTTCCATACTCCGGGCAAACCTCTCTGACCCCTGATTAATCCCGCCCCACCCCCACCCCCCCTAGGCCCCCTGATTCAGAAGTGGGCAGGTTCTTGCGCAGGGGTCATTGTTGAGGGCACCTTGCGCGAAGGATTGAGGCTTGACTTTGAACAGCCCAGTCACATGCTAGCGACGCTGGATGGTAACTTGGCGATTGGTTCGTCATTCTGTTCACTACAGTAGACGCTGGTGAATAATACCCGCCGCTCACATGAGAGGCCCACAATGGCCTCTTGCATTTGGAATCCTCCAAAGTGCTTGCAGGTTGGCAGACAAAAAAATCAGCTCGCTGGCTTCTACTTGCCACAAGAATCTCAAACCATCAATAGCGTCGCGACCAACAACAGCGGAAGCACGGTGACTTCCAATCTGGTCCAAGATTCTCCACTGCGACCGTGGGAAGCACAATGTAGGCCACTTCACCGTACTGTTCCTCAAGTTCCCTGAGCAGTCGAATGCACTCGTCAGTGGGAGCCACCGGCGCATATACAAAGAGCGCACGTCTGCTCTGCATGCGGTACACGGTCATGCGGATGGGCACGTGGATGTACAGAATGCCCTGCTTTTGCTCGAAAGTCCAGAGCTCACCTGCCGAATGTTCTGTCACAACCGGACCTGAACTTCACCATCCCCACATATCCCCACTTAACCCTGAAGCGGAATTTGCGATCTTGCAGAGTGAAAGGAAAGCTCGTCGATTTGGGTGGGTTTCTCCTTGTCAGACAGTCTTCTTGTAGAGCGCCTGTGTCCACCCCCTTAAGTTTCAAACAAATGCGCCCAGGTTCACCTTTGCCCTGCTTTCGGAACCAAGGGGCAGTCCTCTGCATTAGCTTGGGTGATCCCAATCAGATTCTACATGAGCTGGGTTTCTTTCGGATGCACCTGGACCTTTGTCCTCCTGAAAAACAATCGTAGTTTCCGCCTTTGACTGGATATTCGGCAAATCGTAGCACTTTTTGCAGCAAAAACCTGAAACTCCTAAAACTTCTAAAAACAGACTATTGCAATGCTCGCGGCCTTTGACAGAGTAAAGGAAGGTTTGCAGGGGCAAACGACTGAATGAAGCCCGCAAGTTTGTCAAAACATGCAACGGCATTCCAAAGTTGTGCGGTGCAGAAAAACCGTACCCATTTTGACCGCAAAACGCGCGCAAATTTCCGCAACACTCCCGCAAAGACCCGCAAACTCCCGCAAATCAGAAAAAGTCGTAGTTTTGATGATCAAGGCATCCCATGGTGTTCCCTGGCACGTTGGCAAGTGCTGCGAGGTGTATTTACTTTGTATGGCCAATGCGCGACTGGAAACGACGCAATTCGTCTGTGTTTTTGCCCAATTTGTAGCTAAACCACTGGAATTCAGTAAATCGTAGGGGTCTCCTAAAACACCCATAAATTTCCCGGAGTTTGAAGGTCCAGGCACATGATTTTCCCTTAGTGCAAGCTGGAACCCATTCATCTAGCACCAGTTTAGGGTCCACTGGTCACCATAAAGCCCTTCAAACCGAGAGGGTTCAACTTACCCCCGAAAAGGAGATGCAAAGGAAAGCACCAAATCCTGATCCATACTTCCCAAATGGAACGGTGGAAAAAGGGCCTTGTGGTGATCACGCAGCCGCACATTCCCATTTCTATGTTGTCACTTGCCAGGGCATTCCTGTGCCAAAGCAGATGGGAGCGGGTTAAGAGAGTTCATACTGTGGATGGACGAAATCCTCGACCACCTAAGAAACCCTGGAATGATGATTCCCCTGCAAATACCAATCAACAATGGTTTCCCATGGTTTCCAAGTGGTGCAGGATGTCGTCCATCCACAGTATGCCCGCTCCCAATCAATTCCTTCCTTCTCCTTCATCATCCTACCTTAGCTCCCAAAACGTCTCTCCTAACCACCAAAAGGTCTAGAGAAGGCGGGAGAGAGTGAAAATGGTGTTCATCATTTCCAGAAGAAAAAAAACACAATTGATTCCTAACACAAACAAAATGATGATGAACGCCAACCATCCAATCATCCTTCTTCATCTCCTACCACCCGCCGCCACACAGCGGAGAAAGGGTGGGGAGATGAAATGAACAACAGAGGCATCACCCACCACCACCTGTCAGCTCTTGCAATAGCATGCCAGGTAAACAAACGGAGAGAGTGGGTATGCGAGAGAAAGAGCTGGGAGATAGAAGGAATGGGAATGGATGTTTATTGTTGGAATTATCTCACATCTTGGGGAAGGAGAAAGAGAATTGGAATGAAGAAAGCGATTGGAGGCGACACAAACATCTTCCAGCCTCCATTATATGCTTTCTCATTCTAGCACCAGCCGTTAACCAAAGAGAAGAGGCTGGGAAGAGATACAGAGATGAGTGGAGAGGCTTCCCCAACAGCAAACGTAAAGTGAAGAGGCTCATCTCCCATTCCTTAGGGTGCGGTTTAGGGTCGGTTGTGTTTAGGGTTGCGTTTGGTTTTAGGGTGGTGTTGGGTTCAGCAGGTGGATTTAGGGTGGGTTCCGGTCTGGGTTTCGTGCGGGTTTGGGGTGGGTTGAGGGTTTAATCTGTCTATCTTAGAAGGTTTGGAGGAGAGATATAGAAAGCGCTATAGCTCCTTTGAGCTGTCGGTGAGACGGAGCAAATATAATAACCCTGAGAATTGGCCGCCTGGAGCTAGAAATCCTGAAAATAGGAGCCAATTGATATGAGTTCATTCTCTTTACCCAGCCTAATCCATAAATCAAGGGCTGGGAGAATGAAGAAGCTGTAAACCAGAAAATTCAGAATGATAGACTGCAAGGACATGTGCCAAAGCGTGTATGTACAATATATATATATACATAATATATGTACACTCTATACATCTTTCCATAATTTCATTTGTTTGTCTACATTCATTGTGTGGGCTTGGCGCAAGCCATGGGACCCAAAATCTGGGTCTTTTCCTGAGACCCTTTAAACATGGAGAGGGTGGCTCCCTGTTCGCCGCCTGGCACCACCTCGTAGCGCTTGGTGAGGCGGCGCTCGTAGGGCGCGATGGGCAGCGCGGGCCAGAAGCTCCAGCGCTGGTCCCGGGACACCCCGGGGCCCTTGCGCCAGTCCTCCCGGCTTTCTCAAGCGCAGGGCGCAGCGGAAAACTGAAGTTGGTGGCTTGGTGGTTGGGGTCCAGTTCAACCCAGGTGGTTTCAGGAGAACCAAAAGCAAACGCACACACACACACACATCCAACTGGTTCAACAGTTTGGGGCACCCTATTCGGGGTCAATGAATGGATGCAGTTCCTGGGTCCCAAACGGAACGCCAACTTTTCCGCAACTGAATTGGACAAACATCATAGGACCTTGGCTCCTAGAAACCTTCTTGAAGGGCCGGCCACTCTTCAACAACTGTTGCCCAAAATTGTGGGACTCAAATCTATTGCTTCCAGCTGCGCGGGGGACACCATCCTGTAAATCCATCTGGGTATGAATTTCAATGAGACACGCTGCAGTGGACATCATTTAGGCGGGGATTCATGTCCACGTTCCCAATCAAGAATCATGGCCATACTGTGGGTGGACAAAATCCTGCACCAGTCGGGATGAATGGAGCCCCGTAAAAATTGGATTTCGTCCACCCACAGTATGACAGGTAAAGCCTGGTGTTTTCTATGACCCGAACGCACTGAAGCAGCCCCGTCCTCCGGCGCTTTCACCTCTTGGGCGGTGAATGCGAATTGACGCCAGGAGAGCCAAGCGCCGATGGCGCCGAAAACCCATGGCTTCAGCGGCCTCATACCGAGACCCAGCAGCTACCCCAGGTTGCTCCAGGGCTTTTTCGGGCAAACCTCTTGCCAATTGATCGATCTACTTGCTCATTGCCTAAGTATTCAACTCTTACCGGTGGAATAAATTCAGGTGGGTGAAAAACGCTACGACCCTTGTTTTTCTGACTGCATCCTTCGATTTGACGCACGGCCACATAATCCAACTGGACGCTCAAAGCTTCAAACGGGCGAGACACCGCGGACCCGGTCAGGCAAATGTGGGGAAAACTCCTTGTCAAGCGCATAGTCATGATGTCATAGCTCAGGAATCGTTGTGGTCCAAACTTGCTAACACTCTCCACCTGAAGTATATGCGTAATCACGGCACATGCGATCAGACTGCAGGTCCGAAAAGTGCTGCCGGTGGTTCTGAGATGGCAAGTAAGCGTCCTGTCACAAGGGGTCCATGAGGATCCGTTTCCCTCTTTCTTCTCTTGTGCAATCCGGGGTTTTGACTTGCAACTGCCGCATGCCTCAAACCTAAGATCTTTCTACAGATATTTTGGTGGTGGTAGAAAATCCCATTGCTCATTGAGGATTGTGAGTTGGGGGCAGCAACAGCGTCTTACATGTGGGAAGCATGGCTTTCAGATGGCCGCTAGCAAGATGATGGGGCACGCCGAAGCGGAAAACCAAGATTGGTGGGTTGAGCCTGGGAGAACAGAAGGTCCTTGAGACCATGAGACAATTCAACGTACCTCTGTCCGCCCGATTCGGAGATCCAACAAGTTGGCCAGGATCCCCACCCCCCACCCCCCCCCCCACACATTCTCCGGCACAAGGGCCCCAGCTTTTGAGGGATATGTTGTGCTGTCACCCTGCCCACACTTCACATGCCTCTCCTTGCTGGCACTGTCCAGGGTTTCATTTCAGTCCCCGACAAGTGTCAAATAAAACTGACATGATTATTCTAACTCTCACGTCCCGAGTGGACTGGCCAAAAAAAAACAACTTGTTATTAGACACTAAAATGGTCCAAACACCAAAAAAGTGACTAAAGTCCGAAACGGAACTCGGAAAGTGAAACCATGAAAAGCTTGGTTTCATCGTACCCATGCAGAATCCCAGTCCAATTGTTAGGTCCTTACAAGTCCTCAAACTTTTCTCATCAGGGTGAGGCCATCCAACTTGACCATGGTAAACCCGACTCAATTGCTGTTTTATCCTGTGGATGGACGAAATCCATTTCGGATCACCGTTCAGAACCCTGGATTTCTCTGAATCGATTCCCCAACGTAAATACCAACAAACAACGGTTTCAACTGTTTCAACCATGATTTCATTTCGTGGCGCGAGATGGATTTCGCCCATCCACCGTACCACTCTTCAGGCCACTGGGTCCGATCCGTGCCTCCGTGGATCTGGAGGTTTCGCTAATCTTCGCCAGGACCTGATCTCGGCCCTGCTTGCACTCCTTCGAAGTCGAAGTCGCGACATCGACTTCGTGAACCTTTCGGCCACTCGCTGCTTGAAATGCTTGGGGATATGATGGGAGATGGGCGTGTCTGAAAAAACAGGCTACTGCAGGGTATCTGTCCTTTTGGTTTCCCTTTCAGCCAACCCAACAAAAACAAAAACACACGGGTACTCCACAAAAAGGACAGACCCTGCTGTCATCATTTTCTCGGCCCCATCTTCCTTGGGCTCGCGTCGTTTTCAAGCTTCCGGGCTGAAACGTGCTGGTGCGATTGGCAGAGAATCACCGAGTCCGGGTGGGAATGAACCGTTTGGGGGGGGTCCCTGAAGGATGAAGCTGGCTCCATCCAATTTGCAGCGAGTGCACCCGTTGAATCAAGGGCAAGGCAATGCCTCTCGCCATTGCAAGGTTGGGCTCTGAAAAAGAGAAGAAACGATTCATGTCTGATTTAACCAAAAAACAAAAGCCATCTTGAGGCCATTGCTAGTTGGGAGAGCCTCTCAGGAGAATAGTGGAGGCTTCGCGCTGAAATTATCTCAGGTCAAGACGTTCAGCTCCAAACTTTGGGACAGCTTTGGAGGCCATGACGGGGCATGGCGCGGGTCCCTTTAAGCAGCTTGGCATAGGCTTATAGCCGCAGGAATTCTTGAGCGCAAACATATTGACAGTGGTGAAGCCATGGGGTCATGGCCAAGTGTTCACAGATTCTGAGCATTTTGTACGAAGTCTTGGATTCCCTGAACAACAAATGTGAACTGTTGTTAGTGGGGAAGGATGCCATCTTCCAACAATTGATCAAATTGTGTGTTCGATCAAACAAGCCAAAAGATGCAAACAGGGCTCCAACGTGTAAGGGATTGTCTCAATATATAGGAACCCTCAAAACAGGCTTCAGTGTCCCTTTGTTTTTTTTGGGTTTCTCAAAGATGGCTGGGGAAATCACTACTTCTGCGAAACCAATGGGGGGTTCTGTATATTCTCACACAAATTGCTCTTAAAGCAATCCATAATAGTCCATGTTCTCACAGTGTTCTTACAATTTAGCTGCTTTCATTTTCCGGGCATTTGGATGGACTTACCTTTACTGTGTTTCAAGGGGTCAACGGCTAGGTAAGCAAACACAAACACCAGAAAAGCAAAGCAAGAAGAACCCTACTGGGCTCATGGGGAGAAGCTCCTGATCAATTTAAATGTAACGTGGACCTGCTCTGGTCAAAGCCCCGCTCTTCAAAATCAAACGGGAAAACACACATGGGGGAGGGGCTCACATTGCTTTGGAAAAGCCCCGGCCCTGCCCCAGGTAAGAGGCGAAGGGGATCCTATCCAAAACACAAGTTGTCCACAACAATGCTTGACGCACCTCAAAGGAGACTCTCAAAATAGGGAAGCCTCAAACTGGGTGGCTTCCTTTTGGCAAAAAGTGGCCCGCCATTCGGATCCACCCCATGGCCCACTTCACCTCCAAAGGGGCAAACCGCAAAACGCGGCTCCTGATTCTCGGGGTCCAGCTTGAGACCTGCGATCGTATCCGATCCGCAAAAGACTCATGGGACATAAGAATGGATTCGGAGGACTCTTCAGTTGGAGTTCAAATCGGTCAAGGATCCAAACCATTTAGATTTTGTCATTCCCCAGTTCGGTTCGGGAAGGGAGCGGATCTGTTCTTTCAAAAAGATGCCCCAGCTCCAAGCCATTTGATTGAGTCATACCCTTGCCTTAAAGGGAATTACGCCAGCTAGTTTCACCTTCGTGTACATGAGAACTTAAGATGTTGAAAAGTAAACCAGAACAAGCAACCAAGCCAACCCAACCCAGCTGGATGTGCTGGGAGCAAAATGGAGCCACTTCAAATGCAGTTGGTTGCCGCTTCCGAATCATTGGCAGGGTGCCAACTTTCTCCCGATCCTTGTCCCGGCTAAACCGGTTCTCAAAATCGGAATCGGCCCTCTAAAATGGTTCGCTTCTGTTACTTTGTGGCTTCAAGCATAAGGGGGTCCGCCATTTTGAAAACTCTCAAACTAGTTGGCTTCCAGAATCTCTAGAAAGTTGGAGAGTGCCCCCTTTGCAGAAAAATATATGAGTTCCCCGAAAATTCCCCTGCAGCCTTTGAAGGGACCCTCAGGAGAGTCCAATTCGACTACTGCATCAACGTGTGACCAAAACCTGCCCTGGCCAAAATGAGCAAAGCCATCTTTTCGACCAGCCCCATAGGAAAAGAATCATGCCCGAAGGGAAGCTCTGTTCCGAGGAACACCAACACAAACCGCCCATCAAATCGTGGCATCAATCCGCCATACGCAGTACTGGTGCGTTTGACAGGGTTGTTTGTTTTCAGGCGAAATGAAAGCCAAACCAGAAGGAAGCCAAAGCAAACTAGCCCAAACAAAAGAAGCTTCTAGGTTCGCGTCTATTTCTGTCCCCCAAACCTTCTCTTACCCAGGTTGAGGCTCTTGCACAGCCGTTGCGTTGACAGTCAAATATAGCCCCTTCGCCGTGCGCAACTGCGTGGAACCATCCCTGGAATACGTGCAGTGCACACCTCTGTCAGCCAGCCTTGCTCGTATGCCTGGAGGGACTTGTGGTACTCCTTCATAAAGAAGTGCCTCAGCCACAGCAAAGGTGTCAATCCAGACCTAAAAACAAGGCATCCGAAGCAGGGTGAGCTGGCTCCCCCATCAGCATCCACAATTAGTTCCGTTGGGGACCTACGCGCAATCCCGCTTCAAAGCGACCCGTCCGGCCGGGTGCCTGAAAAAATCCTGAGCAATTGTCATATATGGGTGTTTATCAAAATTGGGGACCCCTCCAATAGGTAGTTTCCTTTTGTTTCCTTTCAAACCCATCCAACAAGCTTCTCCTATTTTGAGACAAAGAAATATTGGTCACGTTCCCACCATCTTGTTCTTCCGAGTTGGGTACAAGGCAGCCCGCTTTTTGCGCCGCACCCCTTCCGTTGCGATCGCTTTCACAGCGCCTACCCCCACCCCTCAGACGGGGCAGAATATGGGGCCCCGAAGAAGCCGCAGCAAGAGCCGCACGGAGATGTTTCTGGCACCTACTCTGATACAAGAATGGTCCAGCAGCATACGAGAGGCAGTGTTTGGTCTATAACCAAATGGGCGTGTACACAATGACAAAAAATGGGCAAGTGTACTGCTCGGTTTGTTGTTCAATGTATGGAGCTGACAGCGCACATGCTTTGCATGAGGCTTGGGCCAGCTAGTCATGGCATGAGTTGTATATGAGTCGAGCGCTGGAGGGTGCTCATACCAGACACCTGACACGGAGTGGATAATCCCCCCCCCACCCCCGGCCACCCCAACCCAACAGTGAAAACAAGCCCAAAAGCGGGGCGGTGTCAGCAGCAAAGTGGTTTGGAGACATATCTGTCCCACACCCTGGTTTAGAGATGGCCAACTTTGAGTGGGATACATGTTCCCTTTGATGTTCGGAAGGGTTTTGTTGTCACCAAACTCTGGAAAGAAATGCTAATTTCTTCCAAGTCTCGCTGCACCTTTCCTGGAGTAAGCCTTCACAAAGGTCGGATCCTGCA